GATCGGGAATGGGGACGCAGCTCAATTTTCCAAGGAATTCCAGAACCGCCCCTTTGCTTCCTGGATTTTCGGGAAAATCCCAATCCAGGGTGGTTCCTTCCAGTGGGATCCCTGCTCTGGGAATTCGGGATCCCAGGGATTGGGAATTTGGGATCCCAGGGATTGGGAATTTGGGATCCCAGGGATTGGGAATTCGGGATCCCAGGGATTGGGAATTCGGGATCCCTGCTCCAGGAGTTTGGGATCCCAGGGATTGGGAATTTGGGGATTTTCCCTTGGGATTGCTGTAGGGATTTTGGGAAAAAGGAGGGACCTGGGGCTGGGACAGGGGCGGGACTGGGATGGGGAACTGGGAGAACTGGGAATGGAGAACTGGGAGTTACTGGAGTTGGGGCACTGGGAGAACTGGGAATGTGCTCCCCTCTCCGCTCCCAAACTGGGATTTACTGGGATTGGGTTTTCCTGGGATCTGGAACTGGGATTTACTGGGATTGGGTTTTCCTGGGATCTGGAACTGGGATTTACTGGGATCGGGTTTTCCTGGGATCTGGAACTGGGATTTACTGGGATTGTTCCCCCTTTTCCTGGGATCGGCATCACTGGGAATGGTTTCCCCTCATTCCTGGAACATCCCAAGGATCCCATCCCAGACCCTTCCCAATCCCAATCCCGACCCAGCACCCCCGTCCCGCATCCTGGAATCCCAAATCCATCTGGAAAAGCGGGAAAAGGCCGGGAATCTCATCCTTGCCCCCGATCCATGAATTCCCTCATCCCGGCATTCCTCGGGATGAATTCCCGTGGTTTTAAACCACATTTACTGGGGACAATTCCCGGGATGAATCGGGAATTCCAGCCTTTTTTGGGGATTCCGAATTCCCTTTTTCCCCTCCCATAAAACCGGGATCTTCCTTCCGGAAATGGGGTTAAAAAAAACCGGGAATAAAAGAGAATTCCCATTTCCCCCAAATCCAGGATCCCGGATTTCCCGCAGCTTGGGGGGGATTTTTTGGGATCGTTTTTGTTTGGGGAATTCCAGGAGCGGGAATTCCGCGGATTCCGGAGGGAACGGAACCCGGGAATCTCTGGAATTGCGCTCCCAGGGAATTCATCCGCGGAATTCCCGCTGGGATTTGGGGTCAGCACCGGGAAAAGGAGCCTGGGGATTCCTGGAATTTCTGGGATTCCTGGAATTTCTGGGATTTCTGGGATTTCTGGGATTCCAGCCTTTCCCGGGATATTTCGGATAAGCGGGATTGGTTTTTTTCCCGCAGTTTCTCTGCTTTTCCTGCTGTTTTCCATGGAAAAATTCCCGACTCTGCCGGCAGGGGAGGGGTGGAATCCAGAAGGTGAAAAGGTAAAATTAAAATAGAAAATAGAAAATAAAATGTAAAATACAAAATAGGAAATGTGAAATATAAAATATAAAATGTACAATGTAAAATATAAAATACAAAATACAAAATTTAAATTGTAAAGTATAAAATGTGAAATGTGAAATATAAAATATAAAATATAAAATATAAAATATAAAATATAAAATATAAAATTTAAATTGTAAAATATAAAATGTGAAATATAAAATATAAAATATAAAATATAAAATATAAAATATAAAATATAAAATTTAAATTGTAAAATATAAAAAGTGAAATATAAAATATAAAATGTAAAATGTAAAATGTGAAATATAAAATATAAAATGTAAAATATATAATATAAAATATAAAATTTAAATTGTAAAATATAAAAAGTGAAATATAAAATATAAAATGTAAAATGTAAAATGTGAAATATAAAATATAAAATGTAAAATATATAATATAAAATATAAAATTTAAATTGTAAAATGTAAAATATAAAATTTAAATTGTAAAATATGAAATATAAAATACAAAATATCGAATATAAAATCTCGAATGTAAGAAAGTAAAATATAAATTACACAAATCAAAACATGAAATTTAATCTAGAAACTAAAAAAAATCAAATATCCGATTAAAAAATTGTACAAAAAATAAAAATGTTTTTATTTATTTATCAAATATAAAAAATAAAATATAAATAAAATATAAATAAAATATAAATAAAATATAAATAAAATATAAATAAAATATAAATAAAATATAAATTTAATATAAATTTAATATAAATAAAATAAAATAGAAATAGAAATAAAATAAAATATAAAAGATACAGATTCAAAGAAAAAATATCAATTAAAATGTAACCTGTGAAATATAAAAATTAAAATAGAAAATAGAAAGTAAAAAATGCAAAATATAAAAATGTAAAATAGAAAAATAGAAAATAGAAAAAATGTAAAATATAAAAAATGTAAATTGTAAAAAAGTAAAAGATGCCAATTAAAATGCCCAGTGTGAAATGTAAAAATGAAAATATAAAATGCAAAGTAAAAACCGTAAAATATGAAAAATGTTAAATATTTCAATTAAAATGCCTAATTTATTCATTTACTAATTTTTACTAATTTATTTAGTAATTGATAATTAATTTATTTCCATTTATTTACCTTTGTTTAACCTGCTTATTTCTTAATTTCTGATGCATTAATTTCCATTTATTTACCTTTTTAAAACCCGTTTATTTATTAATTTGCAATGCATTCATCTCCATTTATTTACCTTTTTATTTATTAATTTCTAATTAATTAACCACCATTTATTTATTATCTTTTTACTTATTAATTTCTAATTTGTTAATCAGCATTTATTTACCTCTTTGCTTCTTTGTTTCTTTATTAATTTATAATTAATTAATTACCATTTATTTACCTCTTTGTTTACCTGTTTATTTATTAATTTACAATGGATTAATTAATATTTAGTTACCTTTTTGAAACCTGTTTATTTATTCATTTATAATTAATTAATGACCATTTATTTACCTTTTTTAAACCTGTTTATTTATTAATTTCTAATTAATTAATGAGCATTTCTTTACCTCTTTAAAACCTGTATATTTATTAATTTATAATGGATTAATTAATATTTTGTTACCTTTTTTTAACCTGTTTATTTCTGAATTTATAGTTAATTAATTAATTACCGTTTATTTACCTGTTTATTTGCTATTTTATAACGGATTTAAATTCCTGTTTATTGATTAATTATCATCAATTTACCTCTTTATTTATTAATTTATCACAGATTTCTTCCCCTCATTATTTATTAATTAATTAACCTCGCTTTGCCTGTTCATTTATTAATTGATTAACATTAATCTCCCAGATTATTTATTAATTGATCATTCATTTCATTCCCGGAATATCCCGGAATATCCTGGGAATTCCAGCCCCGAGTGACCGCAGTGACCGCAGTGACCAGGGGTGACCAGGGGTGACCAGGGGTGACCACACTGACCAGTGACCAATGACCACAGTGACCAGAGTGACCAGGAGTGACCAGGAGTGACCACAGTGACCAGGAGTGACCAGGAGTGACCACAGTGACCAGGAGTGACCAGGAGTGACCACAGTGACCAATGACCACAGTGACCAGAGTGATCAGGAGTGATCAGGAGTGACCACAGTGACCAGGAGTGATCAGGAGTGACCACAGTGACCAGGAGTGACCGCAGTGACCAATGACCACAGTGACCAGAGTGACCAGGAATGACCAGGGGTGACCCCAGTGACCCCAGTGACCAGGAGTGACCAGGAGTGACCAATGACCACAGTGAACGCAGTGACTGCAGTGACCAGGAGTGACCAGGGGTGACCAGGAGTGACCACACTGACCAGTGACCAATGACCACAGTGACCAGGAGTGACCACACTGACCCCAGTGACCACAGTGACCACACTGACCAATGACCACAGTGACCGCAGTGACCAAGAGTGACCAGGGGTGACCTGGAGTGACCACACTGACCACAGTGACCACAGTGAACAGGAGTGACCACACTGACCACACTGACCAGTGACCACACTGACCACAGTGACCAGGGGTGACCAGGAGTGACCAGGGGTGACCTGGAGTGACCACACTGACCAGAGTGACCAGGAGTGACTCCAGTGACCAGGAGTGACCAGAGTGACCAGAGTGACCAGAGTGACCACAGTGACCAGAGTGACCAGAGTGACCAGGAGTGACCACAGTGACCACAGTGACCAGGAGTGACCACACTGACCACACTGACCACAGTGACCAGGAGTGACTCCAGTGACCAGGAGTGACCAGAGTGACCAGAGTGACCACAGTGACCAGAGTGACCAGAGTGACCAGGAGTGACCACAGTGACCGCAGTAACCGCTGCCTTCCAGCTGCCCCATCCGTCCCTCCCGCCATTCCCAGCGGGATCATTCCCAGATCCAGGGGCGCCAGGATCCCTTGGGATCGGCACTCCCGGCATTCCCGGGATAAAACAGGGCCCGATTTCCCGGGAAGAGCCCGAGGAACGCCGGGATGGGGTCGCTTTCCACGGCATCGGGATCCGCGGATCGCGATCCGGCCGCGACAATTCCGTGATTCCCAGGCCCGGCTTTCCCAGGTTTCCCGGGAATGTCAGGCCGGGAAGGCGCCAGATGGGATTTTATAGGAGCCAGCGGCCGCCGCGAGATTAATTCCGGGAAATTAATTGGGACAAGATTGAGAAGGGAATGAAGGCGCAGCTGAGCGAGAATTCCCGACCTTTCCTCCTCCTCCTCCTCCTCCTCCTCCTCCCACCGCTGCCTCTTCCCGCATCCCGAATTTACCGGGAAACCCCGCGGGATCCGTCGGTTCTGAGTGAGGGATTGGCCGGAGATAAAAAAATTTCTGGATTCTACTTCGCTGAGGATGCGGATGACGTCACCCCATTGGAAATGGGAAATGAAATGGGAAACGAGCCAAAATTCCCAGAACATTCCCCAAAAATTCCCCCCAAAAAATTCACCAAAAATTCCCCCAAAATTAAAAAAAAAAAAAATCCCCCAAAAATTCCCAAAAAATCCCCAAAAATTCCCCCAAAAAATTCCCCCCCAAAATTCCGGCTCCTACCTTGCTGAGGACACGGATGAGGTCGCCCCGTCGGAAGGAGAGCTCGTCGGGATTGTCCCCGCGGCAATCCCACAGTCCCTGGTAATACCTGGAGTAATCCCAGTCGGAATTTCCTGGGAAAAAGGGAAAGAAAGGGTTGGGAGGGGGTGAGGGATTCATAGGAACAGGAGCTCCAAGGCCATTCCCGAGCCAAAAGTTCTCCCGGAGCTCCTCTGGGATGGGAAAGGCTCCAAATCCCTCGGGAATGTTGAATGTTGAGGTTGGACAAGGCCAGGAATTCCATGGAATTCCATCCTGGACTCGCTGGCCGAGGGATTGGTGCTCCCCTGAGAGTTTTGTCCCAGTTTTCCGTCCTTTCCCAGGAATTCTCCTCATCCCAGCTCCTTCCCGGAGGGAGGGGAGGGCTCTGGAGGCATCCCCGGAATATCCGGTGGGATCCACGGGGGTTGGATCTGCAGGAACCATCCCAAAATTCCCCTGGGACGCCTCCCTGGCCTTTTAGGGATAAAAATCCCATTTGGAAACCCCAAACACTTTCTTTATCCCAGGAATTTTGGGAGATGCCTCCTCATCCCATCGGGTTGAGGTTGGAATTCCCAGCGGGAATTCCGCCATTGCCAAGAGGCTCCTTCGTCAAATCCCAGGAATTCTCCCGTTCCCCGCATTTTCCACAGCCCAGGATGCTCCAAAGTGGCCAAAATCCCAAAATATTCCCCCCGTCCATATCCTGGAAATCCTTTGGATTGGGATCTTACCGTCCCCGCTCCCGAAATCCTCCTCATCCTCAGGGAATGGCGGCTCCGGCTCCTCATCTGGGGAGGGAAAAAACATTGGAAAAATCAGGGAAAAGCAGCAGAAAAATCCGGGAAAATCTGGGAATGTCACAGCTCCGGCTCTCAGGGCTCTGGGAGAATCCTGGGAATAAAAAATTCAGGGATTGATTGCGGAGAGAGGAAGCATCGGAGAAGATTTTTGTGGAAAACGGGAATTGTCGCGGACACCGGGAAAAACAAATCCAGGAATTCTGGGCGTTCCCGCGGGGAGAGAGGTGCCTTGGGAAAAGGAGATTCCAGAGGGGAAATTCCAGGCTGGGAATGAATTCGGGAGAAAGAGGATTCGCGAAGAGGAGGAGGAAGGGATGGAAGGAATGATCCCATGGAGAGGCAGATTCCAGAGGGGCTGGAAAAACGGGAAGGGAGTGGAGCTGCGTGGAGCATCCCAAATTCCCGTCCTCATCCATGGAAAACCCATTTCCCATCCATGGAAAATCCCTTCCCATCCCTGCCCACTCCGTGTCCAGGCACATTCCTGCGGGATTTGGAGCTGGGAAATCCGGGAATGGGATCCGTGGGGACTGGAGCAGCCCCTCTCCACTATCCAGGGGATTTCCTGGAATTAAATCTGGGATCCGGGTGTTTTCCTGGATCAAATCTGATGGATCCTGAAGTTTTCCTGGAATTAAATCCGGGATCCAGATGTTTTCCTGGATCAAATCTGATGGATCCTGAAGTTTTCCTGGAATTAAATCCGGGATCCAGATGTTTTCCTGGATCAAATCTGATGGATCCTGAAGTTTTCCTGGATCAAATCTGATGGATCCTGAAGTTTTCCTGGATCAAATCCGATGGATCCTGAAGTTTTCCTGGAATCAAATCTGATGGATCCAGGTGTTTTCCTGGAATCAGGCCTGGAAGTGAAGCCCTGCCTTCCCAATCCCACCCAACTTGGATTTTCCAAGATCGAATCCAAAGAAAAAAAGCCGGGAAAACTTTGGAACATCCAACTTCTCCCTCTCCACTTTTGGGATCCTCACCCCGGGGCTCCGGAGCCGCCGGCGCATCCCGGGGAAGCTTCGGAATCTCGGCGGAGCCGAGTTTTTTAATGGAGCAATTTGATTCAATTTTCCAGGCGATAAAATTCCCCGGCATCGCTCGGCGCTTCCGAGCGGACACCTTCACTCCCGACTGAACATTCCCATCCCATCCTTCCCGGGAAATTGGAAAAATTTATCACCTGTGAAATTTTATTTGGCCTCGGCCGCGTCTGTTTGTGTAAAACTTCATTAACGCCGGGAAACGGCCGCTCCGTGGCTTTTCCCGGTTTTTTTTTTTTCCTCTTCCCGTCTCCCGGGATTTTTTTGGTCGGGAGGTGAAGGAAGGAGAGGGAGGGGTTTGGGATTGGTGGTTTTTCTTTTTTCCCAGGGTTTTTGGGGGTTTGGGATGGTGAGGTGGGTTATTCCGGGGAAGGTGGAGAGTTTAATCCGTGGAAATCAGTGGAAATGCGTGGAATTCCAAGGGAAAAACCATGGGAATGCATGGAAATCCAAGGGGAAAAACATGGGAATGCATGGAAATCCAAGGGGAAAAACATGGAAATGCATGGAAATCCAAGGAAATCCAAGGAAAAAAAAACCCCATGGAAATCCATGGAATTCCAAGGAGAAACCCATGGAAACCCATGAAAATCCAAGGAAGAAAGCCATGGAAATTCATAGAAATGTATGGAAATCCATGGAAATCCAAGGAAAAAACCCATGGAAACCCATGAAAATCCATGGAAAACCTATGGAAATCCATGAAAACTCATGAAAACACATGGAAATCCATGGAAATCCATAGAAATGTATGGAAATCCATGGAAATCCAAGGAAAACCCCATGGAAATCCATGGAAAACCATGGAAACCCAAGAAGACTCATGAAAATCCATGGAAATCCGTGAAAACCCATAAAGTCAACCAAAATCCATGGAAATCCATGAGAATCCAGGAAAACTCCGAGAGCTGCTCCAGCAGAATTCCCAGATCTGAAATTCCCAGAAAAACAAGGTTGGGATTTGGGATGTCCATCAAAAACTGGGAATAAAGGAATGGGATAAAACCTTGGAATTTCGGGTGGAGATGTGGGAATGGCTCCGGCTGAGGTTTCCTCACTTTTTTCCGAGGAAAAATTGGGAATTTGGGAGCTCACCTGGCAACACCTCGTAGATGTCGTCGCCTTCCAGCTCCGGCTCTTCCGGATTCAGGGTGGAATTTTGGGAATTGTTCATGGAATCGGAGCTGTCCCGGTCCTTGGAGAGCTCCTCCTCCTCCTCCTCCTCCTCATCCTCGTCACAGGGAATGGTCAGGGAGCTCAGGTCTGCCGGGAAACAGGGAAAACGGGATGGAAAAGCGGGAATTCTCCCGATCTCAGAGCGGGGGGAATGGATCCATAATCCTGCGCCTGAGAACGGGTGAAAATCCAAGGGAAAATTTAAGGAAATATGGGAAAAAACCCCAAGGAAAGATGGAAAATCCCAGTAAATAACCCCAAATTCTGGGATGGATCCTGAAGGGTCGGTGCTGGGGGGGTTCCAGAGGTTCTGGAAAATTCCAGAGGGTTTCTGGAATTTTCTCTGACTCCAGCTGGGGCAAACCCAGCTGGGAGTGAGGGAAAATGGGATGAAAAGTGGGAATTCTCCCAATTCCAGAGGGGTGGGACCGAGCTCCAAACCCTACAGCAGAGAACTGGGAAAAAACAATGGGAAAACCCCAAGGAAAGATGGAAAATCCCAGGGAATGACCCCAAATTCCATGGGGGCCTGAAGGGATGGATCCTGCCTGGGCATTCCAGAGAATTTCTGGAATTTTCTCCATCTGGAGCAAGTCCCCCAAACCCAGGATGGATCCCGGCGATCCCGGCGGGAAAACGCTTCCCAAGGATCCCAAAATCCGGGAGCTGCTCCGGACTCACCCTTGAGGAGGAAGCGGATCTGCTCCACCCAATCCTGGGCCTCGGCCGGACTCGGAGCTGTGAACTGCCGGGAGAATCCGTTATCCCGGGATTTGGGATTCGGGAACAGGGATCTGCCATTCCCGACCCCGGGGCACCGGGAAAAACCATTCCCGGGATTTGTCGCCCGGCTCCGAGCGGGAGCAGAGCACAGCCAGGAGAGCTGGAGGGACTAATCCATGGAAAGCCATGGAAATCCGTGGAATTCCATGAAAATATATGAAAATCCATGGAAACCCACAGAAATCTACGGAAATCCATGGAAATCCATCCCCATACCCCCCCAAAATTCCTGGTTTACCTCCCAAATTCCCATTTTCCCCCAGAATTCCCATTTTCCCACTGATTCCCACCTCGTAGGAGCGTTTGCCAGGACAGAGCAGCCGGAAGCAGCATTTTTTCCGGGAATCTTTCCGGAGCTGGGAATCCAGGTGGGCCTGGTAGCGCTCGATGGGGAAGGAGCCTTTGGGCTGCTTGCCTGGGAAAAGGGAATTGGGAAAAATCTGGGATTTTCCAGCTTTTCCCCACCCCGGATGTGTCCCGGGGGGGGGGTTTAATCCGTGGAGGGAAACTGAGGCACGCGGCCGGAAAATTCCGGGAAAGGGAAATGGACAGGAAATTCTGGGGAAGGAAAAATGGCTCTGAAATTCTGGGAAAGAGGAATGGCTGGAAAATTCTGGGAAGGGGAAATGGCCAGGAAATGCAGGGAAATGGAAATGGCTGGAAAATTCCGGGAAAGGGAATGTAGGGAAATGGAAATGGCTGGAAAATTCTGGGAAATGGGAATGGAAATGGCTGGAAAATTCTGGAAAATGGGAATGGAAATGGCTGGAAAATTCTGGAAAAGGGGTATGACCAGGAAATTCTGGGAAAGGGAAATGGCTGGAAAATTCTGGAAAAGGGGAATGTCTGGAGAATTCTGGGAAAGGGGAATGCTGGGAAAGCAGAATGGCTGGAAAATTCCAGGGAAAGAAAGGAAAACTCTGGGAAAGAGAAACGTCCAGAAAATTCCTTTTGCTCCCACGGGAAAAAAAAACCCAAATCCAGCTGGGATTTCCCCTTCCAGGAGCTCTGGGAATGGCGGTTTTTCCATGGTCAGATCCCTCTTTTCCACCCGAAAGTTGGGAATTCTTTTCCCGCTCACTTTTCTCGCTGGCGTAGTAGAGGAAGCTCCGGTGGGTGAGGACGCACCAGCGCTTGTGCCACTCGGAGCCGAAAAAGCTGGGCTCTGGAAAAGGGGAAAAAAAACGGGAAAAATCAGGAAAAACAGGAAAAAATCTGGAAAAACGGGGGAAAAAAATCCTCCTTTTTATCCCTTCGGGACGCGTTTCTCACGGATTCCGCGCGGCCGGAGAAGGTGCTTGGGGTGAAATCTCTGGGAAATGTCGTTAGGCCGGAGATGAGCGGGAGTTAAGGCAGGCCTAACTCCGAGCTGAGCTCAGGGAAAAACCGGGAGCTGTTTCTGCCTCTTCCCATCAATAATTCCCGAGAAAATCCCATTAAGGAAGGGAATAATTTGTGGCTTTCACGGGAAAAGGGAGATAAGGCCGAGGCGGATTCCGAGCCCGGCTCTTATCTCCGCATTAAATGTGGGATGATCCCGAATCCCTGGAGCTTTTCCCGGCTTTTTCTCCTCATTAGTTTTGCCCTCCAGGCCTGGGCCGGGCTTAATTTAATTCCAGGATTTAATTTGGATGCTCTGGAAAAGGGAATGAGCCCAGCAAGGCTGTGGAAAAACCTGGAAGCTCCTGCTGGTGGAAATCCGTGGATTTCCTGTGTTTTCCGGGCTTTGTTAGGCTGGAAATTTGGGATTTCCCTGAATTTTGGGGTGGCAGCCCTGGATTTTCCCCTGGAATTCCAGGTTTTACCTCGGGATCTCTTCTCCAGGTATCCTTGCTTCAAAATATTCCCGGAATCCTGGACAGGCCGTGGGATCTCCTCCGGACCTGCAGGGAGCGAAGCAAAGGAAAATCTTGGAATTTGCCATTGTCGTTCCCACATTCCAAAGTTTCCAGCCCCTTCCTTTGGAGAGGCAGGGTTGGGGTGGAAATCCCAGATTATCCCGATCCCGCTGCTATTCCCAGGATTGGGAATAGGAAACAGGGTCTTGGAATTCCAGGATTCAGCAGGATGAGGCTGGAGCTGCTCTTTTTCCCTGGAATCTGGTTGGGTTATGGACATGGAAAACCCAATTCCCATGGAAAACCCAGTTCCCATGGAAAATCCAATTCCCATTGTGGATCACAGCTCTTCCCATGGAATCTCATCCCAGAGCCTGGAAGGGCTCTGCCATTCCCAGCCCATCCCAAAAACCTGGGAATCCTGGGATCGTGGGAGGTGACCCTGGCTGAGCTTTAGGATCCCTTCCATCCCAAATGATCCCATCGTAAATCCACAGAAAAATGAAAAATATGGAAATAAAAGCATAAAAAAAAAAAATAAATCTAAGAACACAGATCCGTAAAATCCCTGGAATTCCTTCCCTGTTTCCCCTCTTCCCCAATCCCAACATTCCGACCCCAGCCGAGCCCTCCCTGCTCCACAATGAGCAGGAAAATCCTAAATCATTCCCTAATGGAGCGTCCGTCCCATCCATCAGCGGGCGGGAATTCATCCCCATTAATTCCCTAATCCATGATAAACTTCCCGTCCTTTCCTGTCCGCGCGGGGACTCCGTAAATCCCGGCTTTTGCTCCGGCTCCACCGGAGCGTTCAGGTGTGCTCCGACCATTCCTCGTTAGCCCGACGGCCTCATTTTCCCAGGAATGGCCTTGGAGGCCTCGTTTTCCCGGGAATGGAGAAGCCTTGGGAGCCGCGTTTTCCCGGGAATGGCCTTGGAAGTCCCGTTTTCCTGGGAATGGGAGGCCTCGTTTTCCCGGGAATGGAGAGGCCTTGGGAGCCTCGTTTTCCTGGGAACGGCCTCATTCCTGAGGCGGCAAACTCAGGAATCCCAGAGGCAGCAAACTCGGGAATTGTGGACTCGGCAAACTCGGGAATTCAAGAGACAACAAATTCGGGAATTCCAGAGACAACAAATTCGGGAATTCCAGGGGCGAGAAACTTGGGATAACTCCTTGCAGTGGGGAAAATCCATAATTTCTTGGAATTCTATCCAAGATAACTTTCAGCAGAGCCGGGCAGCAGCTTCCATAAATCCTGCCTCATCCCGGGAATCCGCAGAAGGCCGGGATCACCCCCGTGGCCCCGCCGGGAAGCGCGGCCGGAGCGCGAGCGCGGCTTTTCCGCCTTCCCGATAAGGAGCTCATCCATCAGGGCCGGGGGAAGGGAAAAGGGCGGGAACGGGCTGGGATTTATCGGGAACGTGTCATTCCCTCCACACGCCCCGCGGGATAAATGGATCCTCCATCATTCCCGGCCGCTCCGCACCTGCGGCCGCGCGCGCTCCGGGATAAGCGGAGCCGAGGATTTGATGGATTTTCCCGGCTTTAATGAACGTAAACAAACAAAGGAGAGAGGGAAACATCAAATAATTCCCGTGACAGCTCCCAAAAGGAGCCGGGAGAGCGGGAAGCGCTTCCCAAAGGGAGCCGCGTTTGATGTGGGATCGGGATTTGTAAACAGCGGCGGCTCCGGATCGCGCCTTATCCAAATATTTCCCTTTCCCAGCGCCGGCTGAAAGTCGGGATTGACGGCTTTGGACTCTTCAACTTTCAGCTTTCACCCCGTGGCTCCGGAGGGAGGGAGAGGGGGAGACCCCCCCCACCCCGTTCCCGCTGGAATTTGTTCCCTGATTTCCCCTTGGAAAAGCTGATATGGGGCAGCTGGAGATGAAACTCCCGGTGCTGCTTCCCCCCCCGGCATTCCCGGTTTTCCAGAGGGTCCCAAACCCCTCCAAGGGCCCCTCTGGGCCCCAAAGGAGGAGGGAGGGGGGAGTGACCCCAATTCCTGCCGGGATGTGTCCCTTAATTTCCCCTTGGAAAAGCTGATATGGAGCACCTGGAGATCAAACTGGAGCCGCTCGTTCCCGGTTTTCCAGAGGGTCCTCAGCCCTTCCGGGGACCCCTCTGTTCACAGCCCTCATCCATCCCTAAAATCTCCCATCCGTGTCCCCCCAAACCCCTTTTCCATGATTTTAGGGTGGCAGCTCCAGGTCCCCATTCCTGCTCCGGCTGGGAATTCCAAGGGAAGCAGAGAGAGGGGGGCGGCAGGTCCCTGTCCCTTTTCCTGTCCTTTTCCCATCCCATGGATCCCATGGATCCCATGGATCCCATGGATCTCATGGATCCTATCCCATCCCACGGATCCCATCCATTCTTTCCATCTGGGAACTGCTCCATGACTCAGTCCCAGAGGGATGGAGCTTCCCTGGCCATGGATGGGCAGGATTTGGGATCCTGAGCCACGGCAGCAAATCCCAAATTTTTGGGACCCTCCCGCCCGACCCCTTTTCCTCATTCCCAACAGGAGCAGCAATCCCAGGGAAAATCCCAAATTTTGGGGAGCCGAGCGTGTCACAGAGTGGGAATTCCACGTTTAATCCCGAGCAGCAACGGCTCTGGAATTCGGGAATAAAAGGAAGGGAATTAAAGAACCTTCCCGCCATAAATATCCTGGGAATTCCCACCCGGACCCCGGGGTTACATCCCGGCTCTTTAAAAACGCATCCCAAGAAAATCAAGCACTTCCATCACCTTCCCGGGAATATTTATGGCCTCCGGGAAGGCCTTGCCGGCAGAATTCCCACTTGGAATTCTCAAGGAGCCGGCAAAGGTCAGCACAGGGATGGACGCGGCTGAAGGATTTCCCTCCCGAGATTCCAAGGCCGGGAGATCCCAACCCTGGAGCCGCTCCCGAGGGATTCTCCCGGGGTTTGAGGTCGCGTCCCGGGGCAGGAATTCAGGGAGAGGCCGTGTCATTCCAAGATTTTGCCACAAGGAAGCAGCAGAAGCTCAGGATTGGAGATGGGAGCGGGAGCGGCCCCGGCGGGAGCGGCGGGGGCTGGGATCCCAATTCCCAAATTTTCCATCCCGAAAAGGGGCTGTGCTGATCCCTAAAATCCCCCGTCCGTGTCCCCCCAAACCCCTTTCCCACGATTTTAGGGTGGCAGCTCCGGGTCCCCATTTCCACTCCAGCTGGGAATTCCAAGGGAAGCAGAGAGGGGTGGCAGGTCTCTGTCCCCAGCCCTGTCCCTTTTCCCATCCCATGGATCCCATCCCATGGATCCCATCCCATCCCATCCCATCCCATCCCATGGATCCCATCCCATCCCTGTCCTTCCAATCCCCTTTCTGCCATTTTTGGGCTGGCAGCTCTGTGTTCCCATTCCCACTGGGAATTCCAAGGGAAGTGGATGGGGGTTGGCAGGTCCCGGTCCCCATCCCTGTTCCTTTTCCTGTCCCTTCCCATGGATCCCATCCCATCCCATGGATCCTATGGATTCCATGGATCCCATCCCATGGATCCCATCCCATCCCATGGATCCTATGGATTCCATGGATCCCATCCCCTGGATCCCATCCCATCCCATCTCATCCCATCCCATCCCATCCCATCCCATCCCATCCCATGGATCCCATCCCATGGATCCCATCCCATGGATCCCATCCCATGGATCCCATCCCATCCCATCCCTGTCCTTGCCCTTTTCCCCCCAGTTTTGGGCCTGCCATCTCCGTGCCCCATTCCCGCTGGGAATACCGAGGGAAGCGCCGGCTCCGCTCCCTCCCTTTCCCTCTCCTGACCTCATCACTTTTCCCCCCTCTCCGAAAGCGCTGAGCGCGGCTTTCCCGGGAATTATTTATCCGCGGGAGAAATGATTAAAAAAATTATTGGGAAAAAAGGAGAGATAAAACAAAGCATCGATCGCTCCGGCCCCATCCACCTCTGGAAGCGCTGGGAAGTGACAGCGGATAAAGGATGGCGGGGCCGGAAAAGCGGGAGCTGCTTTTTATGGCGGCTCCGATTCCCACCAGGTCATAAATCCGGGATGTTATGGATCGGGAGCTTCTTGGGAAAAACTCCAAATGGGGTGGGGTTTTTGGGGGTCTTTGGATGGAAATCCAGGGATCCAGACCCCAAAATCCAGGTGGGATCGGGAATCCAGACCCCAAAATCCAGGTGGGATTGGGGATTTAGAACCCCAAAATCCAGGTGGGATTGGGGATTTAGAACCCCAAAATCCAGGTGGGATCAGGATTTCAGGATCCAGGGGGGGCATTGGGACTTTATTCCTAAATCCCAGTGGGATCAGAGCTCCAGGACTCCAAAATCCTGGTGGGATGACGGCTCCAGATCCCAAAATCCCGGCGGGATCAGAGCACCAGGCCAACATTGGGCCCTTATCCAAAAATCCTGGGATTTGGGATTAAACAGAAGCCCAGATGGGATTCCAGCCTCTTTCCAGCCCGGATCTGAGCCGGGATGATCCCAAACTTTCCCCTCCCAGCTGTTCCCTCATTCCCTCACAGGAAGGGAGGGTTGGGAACGTCCCTGGGAATTTGTAACCCTGACATTTATGGGAAAAGTGAGGATTTTATTGCTCTCTCCGTCAAAATCCGCGGCTCCATCCGAGGGAAACATTGGATCGATATCCCGGCCTTTAATATCCCAGAAAATGACCCCAAAAAATCATTATCCCGTGATTTTTATTATGGAGTTCTGGCTGGAAGGGGGAGCTGGGGGCGCTTCCCGTTTCCTCGGCCGTTTTGGAGGAGATTTTTCCCTCCCCGGCTGCCTCCGGATCAAATCCCACCAGGATGGGAAGTGGGATTTGGGTGGGGATGGGAAGGGCCTGGCTCTGCTCCGGGATGGGGATTTTGGGAATCCCAGAGATCCTCACAGCTCCAGGATGGGGATTTTGGGAATCCCAGAACCGTGGGATTGGTATTTTGGGAGCCCCAAAACTCTAGGATGGGATTTTGGGAGCCCAAAACCCTGGGATGGGGATTTTGGGAATCCCGGAGATCCCCACAGCTCCGGGATGGGG